TTTGCATCAGTTAGTTTTATGGCCATATACTATGAATTATACTTAATCTTACCGTTTTGATAGAGTGATATAAAATGATTCAAGTTTATTTTATGTGCAAAATCACATGTAGTATACAGACTGACACTTAAAAGCAATGAAATAGTAACCATGGCTTATTTTCTGAGGAAATCTTGACACTAATGCTGAATTACAACTTGGAAACATCCAGTACTTTTAAACTTTATGAGAAAAGGCTTTTTACATATTTAACATAATTCTGGGGAAATAAACTGGAATTATGTACAAAGATATGTACTGTGTAACCAAGGGGCATTTATATTCCCCTGTAGAATACTTACCATGATTTTATTGCCATTTTGTGTCATTTTCTAAAGGATATAAAATACAGCCAGTAAACAAACTAGACTTTAGATTTAAGATGACAGCTGCTTCTTCAGAAACAATCTTCCAATATTTAATCTTAAGGACACTGAATATTTTACAACTCAGTAAAGTACACTTTTGCAGAAATAAGAGGACTATGTGCCTTGACTTCTAATGTTTGTCAGCATGGCCACAGCTACCCTAGACGTCCCTGCTAAAACCAGAGAATGGCTCACAAACCTGGTTCCTTTGCTCATTTAATCACTTGAGAAAATCTTACATGAGCTCTCCACTTTACCGAAATGCAAAACATTCTTTTTCTAAAATGTTGATTCAACCTACAACTTATAGAGCATTGTATTTTGAAAGTGATGTTTCAACTCAATTTGAGTAGACCCTTTGCCCTCTGTGGAGACTATGTTTTAAGTAGTTGCTGATTTTCACTGAGGATGAATACAGGAGTCCTGGTTCAATGGGAAAATGAAATCCAAATTTGTTTCTAGAATATCTTTCCTATTTATTCTTCCTCCTTCTAATTCTTTAGCCATGGTTATAATGGCCTTTGAAATTTTATCCATATCATTTATTTTTGACAGTTGGAAATGATCTATCTCAGCAGCTACATCTAAGTAATGTCAACTCCATTTTTCTAATCGAAACTTAGGGGTATGCCTTCCCGTCTTAGAAAGCAATTAGCTACCTCTCTCCTAAGTATGATTTAGATAGAAAAATTCTAAGAATTCAGATACTTCTTTGTAACAAAGAGGACAACTCTGCTTCAAGCACAAGGCAGAGAGAACTTACGTGTGCTGGGCTGTCATGCTGTCACCATTGGACACCAGTTCTGCATGTTCCAGAAAACCCCTTCAGACGTTCTTTAAACACCAGAGCGCAGAATCAGACAGAATCAGGTCCGCGATGGCTTTAGCCTCAGTCACCTAGTAGCTCAGAACCAGGTGTCCTCCAACAAAATTGATTTGGATAGGTTTGCAAATTTTCAAGGTCTCTTTTATAGATGAATTTACAGTTCCATTCGCTGTTCTTGTCACTGGTTTCCCATATTATTTATTAAGGGTAGATTCTTAAAGTAGATTTACTGGGTCAAAGAATATTAAAGTTTAAAGGCATACGTGTGTCTGATGTATGTATACAACTCTTCGTGTGTGCATACCAAGTTGACATTAAAAGAAATGGATGTATAAACAGACTAGCAGTGAAAGGAAAAGCTCCCCGCCTTATTCGTGTTTTTTTTGTTCAGATCGTGCCATGTTTGAAATAAAAGACTTCCTGGATATCATAATTCCCTGTCCCAGGTTTTCCCTTTGAAAGATGCAAAGTGACATAGTAGTTCATTTTTCCTAGTTTTAGAAAGTATTTGAAATTTTTAACTAGCAGTTTGTCTTAGGCCTGAGTTCATGATGTGTTTTTCTCTTCTAGAAACATTTCTTCCTATTAATCAATGGCACCCATAAAATAGTGAGCATGGCTATGCGTCAGTACCTTATTTTCTCCAGGACAATGATTTGAAATAAGTAACTGGGCACATCGGTATAGATTTAAAACATCACCAGATCTCTCTGTGATAGCTTTGCAGAATCTGAAAGCCAAGCATCTTGCAGGCCCAGTTAACTCTAAAGTGAGGCCAGATCATTTCTTTGGCAACTGTAATAGAGGCTAGTTAAATTTTTATGCTCTCTTCCTTAAATCTGACAGCTAAAATACATTTGCTAATTTGATGCGTCTCACATGTGCATGCACAGTACTTTATATATTTGGGCTCTTTATCTGGCAGCTGTGACAAGGGCAAAAAGAAGAATGGTAATTGTGGGAGCCGCTCAGAAGCAGGTGAATAACTCAGAAGTCTATGTCTTGCTGGTGAACAATCTTGTGTAGAGAAATTCATAGTCCAGATGAGAGCCAGGTTTCTTAAACTTTTAGTAAACAATACCACTCCCACCACCACGTCCCTTCTTAAGCTCTTTAGACCTTTTCTGGAATAATAAAGCCTGAGAAAGCAGTCATCTTAACAGTTCCTTTTATAGAAGATAGAGTGATATTTGAGGTTGCTTTTCTGGATCTAATTCTCAATAGCAAAGAAAGATTGTAAATCACAGGAGACTCAGGAGGAAGTGACCGTGTCATTTATGAGTTCATAATTCTGGTGAAGGCTGTGTGCCATCCACTTTGATATTTGTAATGTGTATTTTGGAAGTTTTCAAAGGAATTGGCAGATGGCTCTCAATCAGAAGTATCTTGAGGCACATGGGAAAAGCTCCAGAAAAATAATTCTCATTTGCATTTTTGTAGAAAATCCAGATGAGGAAAAAAGAGAAGCTATCTCAACAAATGCCATTGTGTGCATACCGCTTTCCAAAAGCATATAATAATGAATAAATGTAAGAGATTACAAACCAAAACTCCTAGAAAAAGCCACATTTATATTTAAGATTCTCCAAAGGTGATTGACTGATCAAACTTTGATATTTTGGGAGAACTGGAATGTTGCAGATCCAGAGTCAAATCATCATGAGCTAACCTTAGTAAGCCATCCTTTTCCCACTTGTGTATTCTTTCAAATATCAGATAGCACCTTTGGAATGTACTAACTTAGCAGACCACTAGCTTCCACAAACTTAAAAGCTAAGAATACTATTACCTCTGATACTTAAAGCTAAGGTTTCTTGGCTGTAATATGCCTATCTGATATTTCCACCAATGTATCTGGAAAATGCCTTGATTTATGGCTTTCTTCTTTGTTGTTTAATATACAAACTTCATGAAACTTTCCGTATTGGAATATGGCATTTGGTGATCACCTGCATCTGTGTTCCTGGGCAGGAGTCACTCATATTTGGTGTAAGAATGAACTATCTCAGATGGGGAGGTGGACTGATGGGTAAAGCACTTGTCACAGAAGCATGAAGATCAGAGTCTGGAGCCCCAGCACTCTCATTAATATTTGGCTTATATGGTTGTCTGCCTGGAATTCCAATACCTGGGAGGCAAATCAAAGGATTTGCTGGTAGCTAGGGTAGGTGAATCGGCAAGCTCTGGGTTCAAGTGAGAGACTCTGCCTCAATATATAAGGTAAAGAGAAATTGAAGAGGACATCCAACACAGGCATTCACAACACACACATGTACACTTACTATACAAATGCATACGTAAAGAAAAAGAGTAAATTATCCTCTGGTTCATTTTGAAATGAGAGCTGTGTTTTCACCAACAGGGCGAAAAGAAGAATGATGGGAAAAATCAAAGGCAAGTGATATCTCTCAAAGGCAAGGGATGTGGGAGACATAGAGTGTAGAGGCAAGAGGCAGTCAACGAAGTGGGGAGATCATGGAGATATGTCAAATATCCAATTTGTGTCTCCTTAATCCTGAAGGATATTTATAACTCAAACAAAAATGGGATTTCCACAGCTCTTTGATGCAACGGCTGAGTTCTGAATGACACAGTCCAGTCCTTTCTTTTCCATCATTGCTGTCCAGGGCAGCATTCTCTCCATGGGATGTCCTGGCTTTTGTCATTTGTAATACTCACTGTCTCGGAAGTAGATTTGCTAGTCCCAGTATTTCAATCACTATCGTTTTCCCCATTTGCCTACCCTGGAAAGAGGTGTTATGACTGGCTAGCCACATGATTTATGAGCTCATTAGCAGATGAAAGGGTTATTCTAGAAAGAGAAAATGGCTCCTGTTACCCAAGAAGAATGGGTCGGATAAGCAGATGTCCTTTGCTATCCAGAGAACTTCATTCCGGTTGACAGTTCTTCAGAACTGTCTGCAGAAGTGGTTCTCTGCCTTGCTCCCACGAATGGCTTTTTATTCAAGAGATGAAGTTCTGGGTGGATACAATCCTTCAGCAGAATGCTTGTAAATACAAGATGCCATCAAAATCTAGGACACACATTTGAGTAGATCGGTGAGACTTCATGTAGTAAACAGTTCAGAAACAAACCCAAACTGTGTTTTGAATGAACAAGGATGTTGATGGGTCTTGGAGTTCTGTTGCAGGGTAATTAAGTCTTGTATGTCAGAAACTTCTAAGTGACAGATACTTCCTGCTAATGGGAATGCTATCCTCTGTTCCCTTCACAGTTCATGGTTTCTAAGCATTTCAGCAAATCAAAGGTCTGTGAAGTTGCTATTGTTTGGTTTTTGCTTTCCTGAGACCAGATCTCATTATGTTGCCCAGGATATCCTCTAACTCCCATCCTCCTGTCTCAGCCTCCTGAGTGCTGGTATCATAGGAAGTGCTGTGGGGCCCATCCTAAAATGCACAAACCAAAATTAAAAGCTACTAAAGGTCAAAGAGAAGCTCGGTTGTTTTTGGTTTTTGACATTTCTGCTTTCAGTAGAAGAGAAAAATTCACTTTTCATATACATTTATTTTACTTGCTTTATATTACTATGTATTTTTCTTAGGGTCGTTATAAAATTACTGTAAAGGTTAGAAATGGTACTGAACTATGGAACCTAAACCAAAAGCTTTTGTGTAACGGAGGAAGTAGAATATTAGTGTTAGTTCAGAGCTTTTCCAAACTCCCATTTCCCTCCAGGAGAAAAAAAGTAGAACAATATATATGTAATTCCATTGATGTATTTGCTTATCTTACCACCACTTTGCAGGTGTTTGGAGACATCAGTACCTTGAAGTTTGCCCCTAGTGAAGTGATCACAGCCATCGAGGAACAGATAAGAGAGACAGACACTGTGCAAGGAGAATTCTGTGCTGCTGCTCAAGACAAAAGATAAAGCCCCGTTGAAAGACAAGGTATTTTTTTCCTGCTGGCCAAGCATTTAGATTGTGAGTAGATCCACTGAGAAGATGCCCTTGTGCCAATTCCTTCTTATTTCTTAAAGTTGCAGTGAGAAGATGAAGCTCAACTTTCTCTTCAATTCCACTGTCTTATGATGTGCACTCCACTAACAGCGCACAGGTGTTGGTTGCTGACACAGAAGGAGCTATTTGGATGATGGACTTTGGAGAAGGATAAGATGCCATTGATAAAATTCATGGACAGTTTTCTTTTCCTGGTTTTTCATTGATCTCCATGTAAAGGGATTAAGGGAACTGAATATAAGATGATAAAACCAAGTCCAAATCAATTCCTTCTTCCTTTCGTTAACTGAAAATGGACACACTTTTCCCCCCACGGGGAGCTTTAAGAAAATAAAAGGAAAATTTCAACAATGACAACAAATATCCCAAGTCACATGAATGAGTT